CAGCGGTGAAGACGTCGAAATGGCTATTCATCCGGTAAGTTATGAACACGGTGTTATTTTTGATCTCATTTCTGTCTGTTGCTGTTAAACAGCTAAACAATAGCTATGCTGCTGCTAGAGCTGGGCAATAGTAGGACAACGGCTAGCTATGTATAGGGTGACCGACAAATTTTTGCCATATTTTCACTGGTTTATTTGTAAATATTTGGTTGCCACTTCGGTCATATCGGTATAGGGGCGTAACCTGTTGAATCAGGTGGGACTTACCGCGTTCTTAAGTTCGTTACTTATACGCTCAGCTTCAAGTCTTCTTATTCATACGTTTTTTTAGATACTTCGGTTAATACTGAGTACTAAGGATTCAAGAAGTTTGAACATCAAAGAGGTCTGTTCTCGTTTTATACGACCTTTTCTGATTCAAATGATCTCCCAACCTTCTTGAAAGGGCTTTGTGATGTCTATTTATTTGCAGAAGAAATTAGTTGATAGAGTCTGCAAAGCACTGGCAGTGTCTTCTTCTGACATACCAAAGGCTAATATTCCAGTGAGTTGAAAATAAAACGTTTAGGGTTGATACTAGTTGATCGCTGATTACTTTCAAGAATGCCACCAGAGTATGTGAGGTACTAGCATCAGAGGTAGCGTCACGAATCGCTCCCGATGATTTCGAACATCTTACAATTGCTGAAATTAATGAAAGACTGGATCGTATGAGTGACATTTCAGGTACGGTAGTTCAGTAGTTCAAGAGATTTTTCATTCTAAAAGTAAAGTTTCGTTGCATTTTGATTAAGTACGGCTTAGATGTTTCTCTTCTTTCGCCCACTTACGCGTTCCGTTCCGTTCCCTTCCCGATTCCTCTCGTTAGAGACGCATCCATATTTGATGGCCAGTCCATGCAAGCCGTCACATCAGTCGCATTTTCATCACCTGACCTCAGAAAATTAATATCTACGGCACATAGATATAAAAAGCTCTACCGGTTAATCATTATGATCTTTGATGACGGCTTTATTTTTGGGTCTTTCAGGTTCGAGTGACCTCCAATACCTTTTCAAAAACTGCTCTCAGGATGAGCTGTTCTGGTTGTTCAACGTAATGATAAAAAATGTCGAGGTCAGTCCTTACATTATTTTTGAGATCATAATCTATGAATACATACGTTCACTACCGTAATCCTACTGAGAATTTTAATTTAGTCAACGATCGGCGTGGCCACGAATGTGATTTTGTCGTGGTTGGGACCAGAAGCTGTCAAAAGATGGAATGCTGCTCGAGATCTTAGCGAAGTGGCAGCTACTTCAGCTAGTGCGGAATCTCCATTAGGAGCAAATTTCCGTCCGATGTTGCTAGCTCGGCTACCAAAGGAGGGATGGTGGGAAGTGGTGAGTCGTTTTCCTGATAGGTACTGTACTTCTCGAGTTCCGTTCGGAGCATGAACAGTTCGGGAAAGTATAGGTAAAAAGATAAGGCAAAATGCATTACGGCTCAACTTCTTACCCCTTCTGCTAAGCATCAAGCAATTACACCAAATTCTATCTAGAACTTTCAAGTCCTGAGCAAAACCGTTGCAACCAGAAGACCTCCTAGGGAGCAAGGATTAGGTCGGTATGGGCGGGCTCCCATCTAGAGTTATTCTGCTTGTCTACTATGCTAACGTCTCTAATATCAATGTGAGCAGAGATATGACAATCATTGGCAGTGCTATCACCTTTCATCTTCTCTTCTCGTTCGTTCGGTCAAAGCGACTGATCTTTGATCAAGCTGAGCTAAGTTACTCACCCAACTACCATTAAGTGCTTGAGATAGTTCAAATGTACAGCTGGTGATTGTATGCGTAGTAAAAAGGGGAATCGCGTCGAAAAAAGAAGATGGGCTCGTGGTGAGGGTGCTTTATAAGGTCCAAAAGGCAAGCGTCACACCTTCACAGAACGTTCCGCCCACACATGGACGAGTTGACAAGGTGGCTTGGTGTACGCGAGTGATTGTTCGGCCCCACAAGGTAGCTGACTCAGCATGCTACGGTGCCGTTTGCGTGAATCACGTCCGGTTTGACGAGTTTACCACAAATGGCTAGAAGGGTGAGGTATTTTGGTCACAATTCGTTCTATGCCTGTGTCAGGACAGAAGCGTGACCAGTTGACCTCGTGCACTTTGAACCCCGAACTCACTTATCGTCCTCTGCTCTGGATGTGTGGGTGGGTACCTGACAGAAATTGAAGGTAAATGGTTTCCTTGAAAATTCTGTTGCTTTCAGATAAAGGAAAACAGTGGTGAAGAGTTCTTTGTGGAGACGAAATATGACGGTGAACATGTGTTGATGCACAAAATTTCCCGTGATCAATACAAATGGTACACGAGAAATGGCAAGGACTTCACCAAGGTGTGCTGTTAAATGCTAAGCTCTACTTCTATCAAAATTCAAATCGTTTATAGGACTATGGTGGCTCGTCATCGCTTACAGATTTGGTATCGGGACGAATTCATCCGCTGTTTCGATCATCAGTCACCGATTGTATTCTGGATTGCGAATTAATGCTGTGGGATAAAAGGCTGAAAAAACTATGTGAGTAGAATCATTTTTCTTGCAGTTGTTCCCACAAATATGCATTGAATGCTATTGGTGAGATAGCGCCGCCCACATGGACGAGTTATGTTGCTGTTCTGCTCTAAAACCTAAATTTTTAAGCTTCATGCAGGGAGCGGGTGTGATTTGAGCTGACTTTTTGTTAATTCTCAGAGCATTTACAGTTTAGCTACTAGTAGGAATTTTCTCCTTTTGAACGAGTTGTTTGTTTTTACCTTTGAAAATGAGTTATAGCTAAGATCGTTGACAGGAATTACAGAACCAGGAATTGAAGCGATTTGATTTGGTGGGGCTTTCACATATGGTTACTCCATCATTTACGATCTATTGTTTCAGGTCGTCGCCAGTTCAAGTCGCAGAACTCTGAGAACAGGAGCCATTCATTCCGTTATATTGATCCAAGTGATAACGTCCAGTTAGGTAAGACAGAAGGTCATTTCTCAAGGAAAGCAGCTCTGTATACTGTCAATAAATTCTAGTAATATAGGAGCTGTGAGTAGTCGGACCCGACCATCCTTTTCCATATGCGATTGGTGACACGGTAAAAATGACTTTTGAGATATCCCGTTTTGAGATTTGTAGGACCCCGTATGCTGTATATGGCGTTCTAATACCAGGAAACGGCACTGATAGGAAGTTATAAAGGCTCAAAGATTGTACCGTGTGTATCCTCGGACGAGTTCCACCGCCATTGTAGAGGTTGCACCGATCACAAAGAAGCCATTGTAGGGAGACAAAATAACTTGATGACCCATAAGACAGTGGAAGATAATTCTGCACAGTTCTGGCTTGAAGTAGTCAGTTCTTTGCGCAGTTGCAACAACTGAAACCTCGTCCAAATACCCCTTCCATGTTATTTCCTTCCGTAATGGTAAACTCGTCAAACCTCTATAGTTCTGCCGTTGAGAAGCGTGGCCTGAGGCTGGCATTAGCCCTCTCTTCATTATATGAGGAACCACTAATTCATAGAATCATTTCATCGACTGTTCTAGAACTTCATTCAGATACTACCTCTTAGCGAACTTACTTTTCATGCTTTAGCCGTCGTTGTATTCGACATGTTGTATTTGAATGGAAAATCCATCATGAATGCACCACTTCACCAACGTCTACGAGCTTTGGATGCTGGACTTTTGAAGGACAATCACGGTCATATCGATACGATATCTATCGCACCAAGAAAGACCGTCAGTACGAAGTAAGCTTCCCTAGGCGAAATCTGATACTCGTAACTTTTTTTTTCCGAGTAGTAACTGACAGAGTTACATAAATTGATGTTCAAATTGAGGACACAAAAAATAAGCTCAGAGAAGCAACGAAAAATCAGTACGCGCATTCGGTTCCTACAGTAACCTTACGGTGGAACAAAGTGTAATGGACGCAGTTGTTTACAGGCAACGTATTTCCTTCCACGGCATCACCCTAATTACTCACCCTCACATATTCCACCCACTAAAAAGGAATTTTCAAGATGAGAGCAGAGAGCAGTGGATGAGTGGGCTACCAGAGAGTGTGTCTCATAGCGGCCACTTGTTTGAGTAAAAACCCTCGGCCAAGAGTACCGTAAAAACCGAATGGGTGTATTGAACTTTTGTTTCTATTCACCGGGCTGCCCACCTGGGGGAGAGTAGGACATTTTCATGTTCAGAATTACCTTCCTAACTATTATATTTTACTAAGTGTTTGTAATCGAGTTGTTCGGAGGGATAAATTAAAAAAAGCAAATTTTAGGGTGACCCTCCACTTATCTTAACCACAGCTCATGATACTTTGTAAGTACCTTTTTAACACAAAAAAGGAGGTATTAGTTGGGAATAGTGCAGCGGTGGTGAAAAACGGGAGACTTGACCGATTTCATGTAAAATAAGGGTCTTAAGAAGATGTGAAAATAGAGGTTGTACGAGATCATTATGTCGGAATGATGTGGGAGGGGTATTTGGGGGAGATTTCAGTTGTTGGGTTAGGGTGAAAAGCTGACTACACCAATACAAAACTGTCCGAAATCGCCTTTCAGTGCCGCTATGGATTATAACAGGTTGTTTGGAACTCCTACATGGGCTCCCTTGTAATGGTGCAGCCTGTACAATGTCGTTGAAACTCGTCCGCGCATTCACACTTTACAATCTGAGTCTCTGAATGCCCTACCTAGGCCATTTTCCGACCTGACGGCGCCACATATGGTATACGAGGGGGCCAACGATCTATCCTTGTGGGATATCTCCTGACCCATTTTTACCGTGAACTGTGCCTTTAATTTTCCCTCAGAAGCGTTCATCTGAACACGTGACTCGTATAAGAACTGCTTTCGAAAGTCGCTTGAGTAGCAACATTTTCAGAGAAGAAGTTGAAACGTTATTTTCCCAAGCGTTAGCAGCCGGAGAGGAGGGTATTGTGGTGAAGCGAAAAGATGTAACGTATCAACCGGGCACGAGGTCAGCCTTTACTTATACTTTCGAACCGTATGGCACTCGTAGCAAACCTGTAGTTAGCACATCCTTAGGAGTTTTCGAATCATCAGACGCTTATGAGAGATTTGTTTTGAGTGAACCATCTTTTTTACCGCAGGATGACGAAGAGTGGCTGGTTTAAGCTAAAGGCGTATCTTGGTGACAACGAACTTGACGTTGCCGTTGTTGCTATTATGCCAGAAAAAGGCAAAGACGGTCAAATTGCTTATCAACTGGCAGTTCGCGATGGTATGACATTTTTGGTTACAATAAAAATGGCCATCCGAGTGATCAAAAGCAGCGCTCAGTACGTGGGTCAGAATATGCCACCTCAGTTACCATGTCGAAACCAGGTCAGCATAGGAACGACATTTTGGCTTCCAAGGCGATCGCTTGGAGCCTCTTGACCCATGACCACTGCGCAGACTCGTGTAGCTTGTAAGTTTGATTCCGTCTCATGGTTATGCCACCATTTTGTTTTCTGATTAGTGAATTGGCGAAATGTGCTTATTGGATCTTGATTGGGAGGGGAGGGGAAATGGGGGGGGGGGGGGG